TTTCTATTTTACCCTCTGATTCTTAGATATCAGGGCAGTTTTCCTTGATAATTTCTTGAAATATGATGTCTACACTCTTTCTTTAATCATCTCTCCTTGCTCTATTTTCCATGTCAGTTGCTTTTCCTATGAGATATTTTACATTTTCTTTTTTCACTCTTTTGACTTTGTTTTATTATTTCTTGATGTCTCATAAAGTAACGAGCTTCCATTTGCCCAATTCTAATTTTTAAGGAATTATTTTCTTTGGTGAGCTTTTTTACCTTTTTTTCCCACTTGGCCAATTCTGCTTTTTAAAGAGTTATTTTCATCAGTGAATTTTTATATCTCTTTTTCCTTACCCAGGAAGGGTCCCTGATCCCTTGAGACAGCAATTAATAGTACTCCTCAGGACCTCTCCTTCCTTGGGCCCAGAAGTGATAATGCCCCTCAAGGCTTCCACTCCCTCTTGACAAAAAGTGCTCCTTTCTGTCCTTGAACTCTGACCCAGAAGTTGGTATAGTCAATGGAGCTGCCAAACAATGTCTGGTCCTGCATTCAGTGCTAGCACAGGGGTACCCTGTAATCTCTTTCTCACCAATGGCATGGTCCCCTTACAATCTCTGTCTTGAGAGCTCCTAAAGTGCTTCTGCTTCTGTCACCACCACTTAGCCCCATGTGGGCTCTGAACCACTCTCCTTCTTCATGTTATAGATCTCTCTTTTGGACCTCCTGTGTTGTCTTGGGCTGGAAGAATGTCTCATTCTGACCTTTTGTTGGCTCTGCAACTCCAGAATTCAATTTGAGGCATTATTTTAAAGTTGCTTGGAGAGGAACGTTGGGAGAGTTCAATTGAGTGCTTTCTCTACTCTGCCATCTCGGCTTCCTTAAATCAACTCCATGAAGTCTGGTTGGAGGTAGAAGGACACCTTGGGAAGAAATTTACTTGGGATACAATATTTGGACAGTGAAACCAAGGACCCTGAGCCACTGAGTTTTTGTAGGTAAAATGCATCTCCAGAGGTTGCTTTTTGGAAGGATGCATCCAGCAAAGGGAGCAGGGCTGGGCTGGATAGAGGATGAGCTCATCAGGAGTTAAGGAAGATTCCTATTTTAATTCTAAGTGATACTTGCTAACTACATGTTCAGTAGTTCTATCCTGTTGTAGGTATTCTAAGTGTTCTAAATTTTGGAGCAAAGTCCCAGTTGCCTCTCCATGAGTTTGTGTGGTCAAACATAGTGGACAGTGTTGGACTTGGAGTCAGAAAGATGTGGGTTAAAATCCTTTATGGGACATTAGTTAAGTGATATAAAGAAAGTCACTTAACATCTCTGGACCTCAGTAAAATGATTACATTAGCTTTTTTGGACTGCTCATCACCCCGCTGAGTCACATTAAACTCATAGTTCATTGAAACCCCCAGATCTTTTTCAGAACAACTGCTATTTAACTCTGCCTCTCCCTTTTTATATTTGGGAAGTTAATTTTATTATAAACTTTAAAACAAAAGATCACTCCATTAGCTTATGCTTGTCCTCATTTTGAGCATATCAATGACCTGGCCCCAATCCTCTCAGCTTTTGGAAACAGAGTGGAAACAATCTCGTTGGAGGTACTGGCATATATCCCAGTAATTCCAGGATAGGTAATTTTGTCAGGTTGTGTACTCTCCCTGTTGTTACAGGTCACAACTTATCTTTCAAAAGGCTCATAGAATCACAGACATTTAGTGTAACTCCTATATTTTACATATGAGGAAACTGAGGTGCAGATTTTTTTTTTTGGAGAAGTCTTGTCCAGGGTCACTTAACTAATAAGTACCTAAGGTGAGATTTGAACCTTGGTCTTCCTGATTCCATGTACAAGTGCCCTATCTACCACACTGTAGAGATATAGCCTTTGAGAGCTGTAGTGGCCAAAAAATGTGTCACTGTGTAGCCAATCTGGTAATGAACCTCTCTAAGCTTAACTACATAGTGCTTTGGACAACACATAGACAGGTGCCTTTCTAGTTCAGTAGGAACTCCTAGAGGATAGGAGCCAATGGCATGTTCTTCAAGAAGCCAGAGTCATTTCTAAGCCAGGAAGAGGACAAGTGCAGTGAAAATCCAGTAATTGAGATGTTATTATCATCTATAAATCTATTTCCTACTTTTTTATCTGGATTTCTTGTATGACCCTGGGCAAGTCTTCTCACCTACAGAATGAGGAGTTAGGAATAGATGAACCCTGATGTCTCTTCCCACTCCAGAGCTGAGATTCTAGAATTCTTTTCCACATTTCCCCAGAGGCAGAGCTGGGCAGAAGGAGGCAGAAGCACCAGAACCAATAGGATGCTCTAAGAAAGTGATGCTTATGACACGATGACTTCGAGTAAGTTACCAAGCCTCCAAGAGCCTCAGTTTCCTCATCTGTAAAAAAGAGGAGTTGGACTAGATGCATTCTGGGCTCTCTTCTAGCCTTATTTCTACACTATAGTGGCCTGAAGAAGGGAGTCACTAGTCAGTGGTTTTCCAAGCGGACGCCTGGGGGCTCCCAAGACCTGTTCAGAAGGTTGATGAGGTCAAAATGATTCTCATGATAAAACTAAGACTTTAATTTCTAATCTAGTAAATATCAATAGCTACAAAGCACATAAGTAAAAGTTCTTTGAGGTCCTCAATAATTTTTAAGAGTATAAAGGGGTTTTAAGAAAAAAGTTTTGAGTTCATTCCTGGTTTTTTTTTTTTTAACTACCAATGGAATCTCATTTTCCACTGGGCGGTTGCTAAGACATAGATAGTCACTGCTCAGTATAGCTGACATTTTGACAAAAAAGTCAACATATTGAACAGGGAGGATTCTAAGGGTCCAGCTCTGAAGACATCATCTCCTTGTCTAGATCCTCTCTGCACCCCACCCTGCCCAGTCTCCCTCACTTCGGTACCTTGTCCTTTATGATTCACTTCCTTGGCTGCAATCACTTTATTTAGGACCGACGTGAGGGGCTCATTCTCCCCGATCACATGGGAGGTTATCAGGGGTGACATGATAAGTTGCCTCTGTCGGATATAGGTTTCCATAGCAATCCTGAGAAACAGAACAACAGGGAGGGGAAGAAGAGAGGAAAGAATGACTCTGGAGTACAACCTGATCCAGACCTGGTCCCCCGGGAACTTCCACAAACATAAATGTGGTCGCACCCACTCGCTCTCCCACCAAGGATGGTCATCTTCTTGTTATTTCTTTAACCCTTGTGCACTCCCACCCCCTTGGGGGTCAACTTCGCAGAATTAACTGTTCTTTGTAATAATGTAGTCCCTACAGTCACAAGGTGGAGAGTGCATGAGTTCAAGAAAGCAAAGAAAGCTGGTAGTGGAAGGGACCTTAGCACATAGAACACAGACCATCAGAGCTGGGGCTGTGGCAGTGGGCAGGTTTGGGGGAAAGAATGGGGAGTAAGCACAGAATATCTGAGCTGGGAGGGACCTTAGCACATAGAACACAGACTGTCAGAGCTGGGGCTGTGGCAGTGGGCAGGTTTGGGGGAAAGAATGGGGAGTAAGCACGGAATATCTGAGCTGGGAGGGACCTTAGCACATAGAAATTCATAGCTTGAAGCAACCAAAAAAAGAATATAGAAAATAAGATCTGAGAGTCAGTCAGTCAGCCAATAAGCATTTATTCATAAGCCCCTACTGTGTTCCAGGCACTGTACTAAACTCTAGGGATACAAAGAGACAAAAGATGGTTCCCACCCTCAGGGAGCTCACAATCTAATGGGAAAGACACAAGCACACAACTGTTACAAACAAGCCATTCACAGGATAAATGGGAGATAGTTAACAGAGGGAAAGCACTGGAATTAAGAGGGGTTAAGGAACATTAAAATACAGAATGTCAGATATTGAAGGGCTCTTAACACAAAGTATGTTAAGCTGGGAGGGAGCCTAGGGACTGCAATGTCAGAAAATTGAATACAGCATGACTGTGTTAGAAGACTTAGGAAATAGAATGCAAGAGGTGAGAACATAGGATCATAGGAACCTTAGGGGTTAACTAAGTCTACTTTATGGATGAGGAAAGTGGAGCACAGAGGAGTTAAGTGATTTGTCCATGGTCAAGTCAACAAGCGTTTATCCAACCCTCACCATATGCCAGGCACCATGCTAAGAAATGGAGACCATGAAGAGCTGCAAAACCAGCCCTATGCGGGTAGCCTGAGTCTGAACATGGCCTCCAGCCCAAATCAGCTGAATGGGAATTCCATATTCTAGCCATTACACCACCTACAGCACTATCAAATTTAGAACATGTCGCAGCTGGAAAGGTCCATAGGATGAACAAGAAAGCTCAATGTCAGACCTGAGAAGGACCTTAGAACACAGAACGCTGCCTTTGAATGGGACTTTAGAATACAGAACACCAAAGTGAGGAGGGACCTTAAAACACAGCCTGTTAGAACTGAGAGGGACCTTAGAACATAGAATGTCAGAGATATGGGGAATCTTAGAATGTAGAATGCTTGGAATGACCATAGAAGATAATGCGGTTCCCTCACTACCACTTTACAAATAGGGAAATTGAGTCTGAGAGCACCAAACGGACTTGCCTAAGGTCAGCCAGTTAGGAAGTAACAGATAATCCTGAGTTCTCTTGAGTTTGGAATCCTTGCTCTCAGATTCCCTCATCCCTCTCATGACAACCTTACCCTTCTCTCCTCTATCAGCCACTACAGTTGGGAGGGGGTGTCAGCACAGCTGGACCAGCCAGCAAACAGGCTTCCCTTAAATTATCCTGTCAGGCTGAAGAGCTAATGCGGCACTCAGAGATGCCCCTCCTCCCATCGGCCCTCTGGCCCATCAGCCCAATGTGCTTTGACAGCCTCTGGTCTGCAAACTGGAGGCTTTGTTCTCCTGCCCGCTGGCCGTGCCAATTTTCTTTGCAGGGCTCAAAGCTGAGGTCTGACAACAGGGGAAGAAACAAACGACGGGGCATTCACAAAAATGTGCTGCTGTCTCACCCATGCCCACAGAACAAGGCCTTTGCAAAGCTTCCAGGGGCTGTCAGAAGACACCCAGAAACCCCTCTCACAGACCGGCACACTGTATGGCTTTTGTAGTGTGTTTGGAGGGCTGCTGCCAAAAACGTCAGCGGGTTAAATGCCAGGGACTGCAATTTGCCCGGTGAACAATTTGCCGCGGCCGCTGGGAGCAGGGTGAGCAGTAATCAGATTAGGGCTGAGTTCCCCAGAACCTCAAAGCCTGCATTATGACAGCCAGGAGAAAGTCATCACCGCTGGAGAAAGGCTGGCTCAGACCCCGAGCAGGCAGAAAAACCCCGCGCAGAGGGTTGGGGCTCCCGGAGGGCATTGTTCCCCCGCTGCTGAGGAGGAAAGCCAGTCCCCTCAGAAGAGCTACTGTCAGAATGAGACTTGGGAGGGACTCCTGAGGTCACTCAGCACAACCCCCTGACCTTAGAGGCTCCACAAAAAGCCTTGGCTGTCCCAAGGTCACACAGGTAGCAAGGATCTGAACCAGAAGTGGGAATTCTGAACCCAGATCCATGATTCAAAGCCATTGGATTGTTTGTTAAATGCTGCTACATGCAGGGCATTAGGTCCTGGGCATTCAGGCAGTTTGCACTCCCTTGGGGACGGAGATGGTGACATATGTGCCCAGGTCAGTAAGTGTAAAATATAGAAAGAAGGTAAGGTTGCCTCTGCAGCTTTGTTCCCAAAGCAAAACAAAGTAATTCAAGATAAATTAGAGGCAGTTCAGGGGCCAGAGTGCTGGACCTGGAGTTGGGAAGACCAGAGTTCAAATCCAGCTTCAGACACTAGCTGAGTGACCTTGGGCAAGTCACTTAACCTCTGTTTGCCTCAATTTTCTCACCTGTAAAGTGGGAATCATAATAGCCCCTATTTCCCAGGGTTGTGGTGAGAATCAAATCAGATAGCAATTGTAAAGTGCTTAGCACAGTATGTGGAACATAGTAGGTGCTATATAAATGCTAGCTATTTTATTATTATTAATAATAATAATTTCCA